TGCCCCTGGCACCTGGTGATGTATAAGTGGTTGGGGGTCACCACAACATGGGGAACTGTATTATGGGGTCGCGGCATTAGAAAGGTTGAGAATCAGTGCTTTAGATGGGTGAAGCCTGATTTATTTATTTTTTTAAGTCCCTTCCCGTGAGTCCCCTGAGTGACATTTTCCAACACTGTCAGTGACATCCTGGGGAATCTTGCCGGCGTATTCATGTGTCACTTCAGTCTGATGGACTTGGAGAACAGAGAAAGTGAGAATCCATTTCCTGACAACCGATGCACCATTTAAGCAACGGAAGAAGGACAGGTCTAAATTTGTGTGGTCGGGGAGGGGGGAAGCACAAGCTAAAAATAAGGTGTTACAAGATGCAAAGGAAAGGGGAGGATTGGGTGGGTATGTCCTAGTGCAGTGGTGGCAAACCTATGGCACGGGTGCCAGAGGCGGCACTCAGAGCTCTCTCTGTGGGCATGCGCACCGTCGCCCCAGTCGCCCAGTCCTAGGCCTTCAGCTGGGTTTTATAAAACCTTTTCGCTTTAGGCCTCCGGCGCTGTGTACAACAAAAAAAAAGGGTTCAATCAATCAGTCAATTTCAACCTCGTGGGAAAAAAAAGATCTTCCAAAGTTGGAATTGATTGATTGAACTTTTTAGTCCCACCCAGTCTGCCATTACCACCGTAGCCACGCCCACCCAGTGGGCCCCACCCAGCCAGTGGGCCATGCCCACCCGGCACCCGATGATGCATAAGTGGTTTTTGCGTTGCAGTTTGGGCACTCGGACTCTAAAAGGTTCGCCATCACTGTCCTAGTGCAAAGAAATTTGGGTTTAAGATTCATATATGGCTGGAAAAGGTAACAAAAATACAGATCGAATTTAAGCCAGAATTGTTTCTGTTAGGAATACTATGGCAAAGAAAATGAGTATTGAATATTACATATATTGACAGCTGCGAGAATAGCATTTGCCCAATATTGGAAAAATGAGAATGTACCCATCTGATGAGATTATAATTAGGAAAAACTTAGAATGTGCAGAAATGGACAGACTAACTCTAGAGATTAAAAACAAAGAAGACTCAGTCTATTTTAAAACATGGGAAAATTTTTTTATCAATGGTTAGCAAAACGGGTCAACGAGAAATGATTGCGAAACTTATTAAGAGGAGTGATGTTTATTGATTAATTGGCATAGTTTATAACTATAGTTATTTTTGTTGACTACAAACACTTATTATTATATTAGTCATTTCCACTGAACACCTGTATCCGGACGATAGTTTGCTTGCTAAAGCTTGAAATGTTATTGTTGTATCTACCCCTGTCCCAATCCCCTCCCTGAACCCCACCCTGAACCCCACTACCTACACTGACCTTATCCTTTCCTTACCCTTATAAAACCTAATAAAATATTTTTTAAAAAAAGGAAAGAGGAGAATTGGATCCTCCTGATTTGAAATTGTACGTGGGGAAAAATGCACGCACAGCAAACTGCCATGCTTTCCCCCCCACAAACCTCATAACCTTTTGATACTCCTTGTCCCAATGAAGCAGCCAGAAGGTCATCCACTTTTGACTTAATGCCTCACCTACCTAAACAGATAATATGCTTAAGTTCCTTCCTATCTCTTCCTGTCTTTGTCAGTTCTTTCTCCTTTTGATCTACTTGTATTTGTTTTTACCTGGTCTTTGACCATGTAATGTGTTACTAGAAAATTGTTGCTTACATGAAGACATTTTCCAATGAAGAAACTTTATGTCAGCATCGAATGGTTAAGCTGGTGTATGTAATAAGTATATAAGAAGCAAAAAACTCAGAGTTTGTCAAGCTGTGTCCTGCAGCTTCAAATCTCTGCTCAAGGCATGCCAGTGTCTTTTTCTTAGCGTCTTACAATTGTATTTTGTGGCTTGCCCTGTAGTTTGAATGCAAGGGGAAACAGTGCTGAGAAACAGAAGACGCTCAGAGTTAGAAGGACGTGCCCTGAAACTTGAGTGGCACGGATATATATGACGAAGTCAAGGTTGAAGTGAATTTTTTTTTTAAAAAAAAAAATCATTTCAGTTCAATCACTTTCCTAGAATCACAGATCACTCAACGTGGTAAATTCAGCCCGGAAATAAAACGTCGGTTTACACTGGGTCGCAGTGATGAACGCGAGCTGAATATGGAAAAGTACGAACATCAGCCTGGCAATCAAATATAGATTAGTCCACTCTACTGTGTTCCCTGTAGCTACCTTTGGTCGTGAAAAGTTGGGCATTAAAAAAGCAAGACAGGAAGAAAGGTGACTTGTTTTACTTGTGGTGCTGGAGAAGGCTCCTAGGTACTCCTTGGATAGCAAAGGTGACTAACAAACAAGAACTGGAGCCCATCACTGGAAGGCAAAAATCACAAAACTGCGTCTCACTTACTTTGGCCATGTCACGTGGGGCAATTTGCTTGAGAAAGCTATTATGTTCGGAAGAGTTAGCAGCATGTGCATAATGGTGGGTTTTTGTGGGGTTTTTTTTTTTTTGAGAGCTAAATGCAACGAAATTACATTTTCATGTATGCTGATTTAGTGTACATTTAAAGTGACAATAAAGTTTCTATTCTATTCTATTCTATTCTATTCTATTCTATTCTATTCTATTCTATTCTATTCTATTTCCATTCCATATTCTATTTCCATTCCCTATTCTATTCTATTCTATTCTATTCTATTCTATTCTATTCTATTCTATTCTATTCCATTTCATTCCATTCCATTCTATTCCACTCCACTCCATTTTCTATTCTATTCTATTCTATTCTATTCTATTCTATTCTATTCTATTCTATTCTATTCTATTCTATTCTATTCCATTTTCTATTCATATTCTATTCTATTCTATTCTACTCTATTCTAGTCTATTCTAGTCTATTCTAGTCTATTCTATTCCATTTTCTGTTCTATTCTATTCCACTCCACTCCATTTTCTATTCATATTCTATTTCATTCCATTCCATTCCATTCCTTTTTCTATTCTATTCTATTCTATTCTCTATACCTATTCCATTCCATTATCTATTCTATTCTGTTCTGTTTTGTTCTGTTCTGTTCTGTACCATTTTCTATTCCTATTCCATTCCATATTCTATTCTATTCTATTCTATTCTATTCTATTCTATTCTATTCTATTCTATTCTATTCTATTCTATTCTATTCTATTCCATTCCATTCCATTCCATTCCATGTCACTGCAAAGAAAATTCACCAAACTGTGTCTCACTTATTTTGGTCGTGTCACACAACAGAGCTGGAGAAAGCAGTTATGATGGGGAGAGTTAGTGGTAGAAGGAAACCAGGCCACCAAAGAACATGGTGGACATCATAATTGATGGACACCATCAAAGCTGACACCAGCCAGAGAATAGAAAAACTCAAAGAAGTAGTGCAAGAGAGGAAGATATGGAGAGACCTGGCCCATGGAATAACCACGCGTTGGACATGATTGAATGGGTAACATCATGCCTGAGCAGGGGGTTGGACTAGATGACCTCCAAGGTCTCTTCCAACTTTATTATTATTGTTGTTGTTGTTGTTATCATCATCATCCCCATCATCAAGAATTTGGACTTGTTACATGCCCACGTTGTGTCCAAAAACACCACTTTACAAAGCCTTAGTAAGACCATGCTTGGAATACTGTATTTTGTTTTGGTCACCACGATATAAAGTTGAGACACTAAAAAATGTGCAGAGAAGAGCAACAAAGTTGACTAGGGGAGGCTCCAAAATAAAGAACGGTGGCAGGAATAGAAATAGAAATAGAAAGAATAGAATAGAGTAGAGTAGAGTAGAGTAGAGTAGAGTAGAGTAGAGTAGAGTAGAGTAGAGTAGAGTAGAATAGAGTAGAGTAGAGTAGAGTAGAGTAGAGAATGGAATAGAATAGAATAGAATAGAATAGAATAGAGTAGAGTAGAGTAGAACAGAGTAGAGTAGAGTAGAATGCAGAATAGAGTAGAGTAGAGTAGAGCAGAGTAGAATAGAATAGATTAGAGTAGAGAATAGAATAGAATAGAGTAGAGTATAGAGTAGAACAGAGTAGAGTAGAGTATAGAGTAGAACAGAGTAGAGTAGAATAGAATAGAATGCAGAATAGAGTAAAGTAGAGTAGAGTAGAGTAGAGTAGAATAGAGTAGAGTAGAACAGAGTAGAGTAGAGTAGAATAGAATAGAATAGAATAGAATAGAATAGAATGCAGAATAGAGTAAAGTAGAGTAGAGTAGAATAGAGTAGAGTAGAGTAGAACAGAGTAGAGTAGAGTAGAATAGAATAGAATAGAATAGAATAGAATGCAGAATAGAGTAAAGTAGAGTAGAGTAGAATAGAGTAGAGTAGAGTAGAACAGAGTAGAGTAGAGTAGAATAGAATAGAATAGAATAGAATAGAATAGAATAGAATAGAATAGAATAGAATAGAGTAGAGTAGAGTAGAATAGAATGCAGAATAGAGTAGAGTAGAACAGAGTAGAACAGAGTAGAGTAGAGTAGAATAGAATAGAGTAGAATAGAATAGAATAGAATAGAATAGAATAGAATAGAATAGAATAGAATAGAATAGAATAGAATAGACCTTGGAGGTCTTCTAGTCTAGTCCCCTATTCAAGCAGGAGGACCTATAGCATCTCAGACAGGTGAATGTCTATGAATTGGGTATGTCTAATTTAATGAAGAGAAGGGGGGGGGACATGATAGCAGTCTTCCAATATCTCAGGGGGTGTCCCAAAGAAGAGGGGATCAACCTATTATCCAAAGCTCCAGAAGGGAATACCCAAATCCTGCAATCATTCTTCATATGTTTTAGTCTCCAGGACTTTAATCATCTTAGTTGCTCTTCTCTGCACTTTCCCCAAAGTCTCAACATCTTTTCTTTTGTACTTGCATTTGTCTGAGTTCTATTACTCATTAAAACAATAGTTATGACTATAAAGAAAAGAATTTTTTTTGGGGGGGGACTAACATGTGAGGCTCAACCTACCTAAAGGTTGATACCCTTGTCTGGATGGTCCTCCAAAGGTATTTCTGCTACCAAACCCACCGCCATCAATGGATCCATAAGACATCTTCTTTAGATCCCTTCTGGAGATCAGCTTCCTTTGGAAACTATAACAAACAGGGGGGGGGAATGTGAATTAGGCAGAGAGAAACTCCGAAAACAGAGAGAAATAGAAAAGTACCAGAAGAATGGATCAATCCAAAAGTACATGAGATTTCGATTCAAACACGGTCACCCATAATAAAAGGAACGGAATGAAACAATTAATACAGTGCTGAATTGTCCCTTAGTGAGTTGGCCATGGCGAGTTGTCCTAGGCTAGGGGTAGGCAATCTTGGCTCTTTTATGACTGGTAGACTTCAACTCCCAGAATTCCGGAGCCAGCATGGCTCAGCTTGGAAACCTCTCCCTTTTCCCTCAGCATGGCTGGCTCAGGATTCTGGGAGTTGAAGTCCACGAGTCATGAAGGAGCCATAGTTCCCCCATGCTGGCTCAGGAATTCTGGGAGTTGAAGTCCATAAGTCATAAAAGAGCCAAGGTTGCCTACCCCTGATCTAGGTCTGTCTGTCTGTCTGTCTGTCTGTCTGTCATCTAGGTCAGGGGTAGGGAATCTTGGCTCTTTTATGACTCGTGGACTTCAACTCCCAGAATTCCTGCGCCAGCCTGGCTAAGCTTGGAAACCTCTCCCTTTCCCCTCAGCATGGCTGGCTCAGGAATTCTGGGAGTCGAAGTCCACAAGTCATAAAAGAGCCAAGGTTGCCTACCCCTCATCTAGGTCTATCTATCTATCTATCTATCTATCTATCTATCTATCTATCTATCTATCTATCTATCTCTCATCTATCTGTCTATCTGTCTGTCTGTCATCTAGATCAGGGTAGGCAACCTTGGCTCTTTTATGACTCGTGGACTTCAACTCCCAGAATTCCTGAGCCAGCATGGCTCAGCTTGGAAACCTCTCCCTTCCCCTCAGCATGGCTGGCTCAGGAATTCTGGGAGTTGAAGTCCACGAGTCATAAAAGAGCCCAGGTTGCCTACCTTCATCTAGGTCTATATATCTATCTATCTATATATCTATCTATCTATCTATCTATCTATCTATCTATCTATCTGTCTATCTGTCTGTCTGTCATCTACATCAGGGGCAGGCAACCTTGGCTCTTTTATGACTGGTGGACTTCAACTCCCAGAATTCCTGAGCCAGCATGGCTCAGCTTGGAAACCTCTCCCTTTCCCCTCAGCATGGCTGGCTCAGGAATTCTGGGAGTCGAAGTCCACAAGTCATAAAAGAGCCAAGGTTGCCTACCCCTCATCTAGGTCTATCTATCTATCTATCTATCTATCTATCTATCTATCTATCTATCTATCTATCTATCTATCTATCTCTCATCTATCTGTCTATCTGTCTGTCTGTCATCTAGATCAGGGTAGGCAACCTTGGCTCTTTATGACTCGTGGACTTCAACTCCCAGAATTCCTGAGCCAGCATGGCTCAGCTTGGAAACCTCTCCCTTTCCCCTCAGCATGGCTGGCTCAGGAATTCTGGGAGTTGAAGTCCACAGTCATAAAAGAGCCAAGGTTGCCTACCCTTCATCTAGGTCTATCTATCTATCTATCTATATCTATCTATCTATCTATCTATCTATCTCTCATCTATCTGTCTATCTGTCTGTCTGTCATCTAGATCAGGGTAGGCAACCTTGGCTCTTTTATGACTCGTGGACTTCAACTCCCAGAATTCCTGAGTCAGCATGGCTCAGCTTGGAAACCTCTCCCTTTCCCCTCAGCATGGCTGGCTCAGGAATTCTGGGAGTTGAAGTCCACCAGTCATAAAAGAGCCAAGGTTGCCTCCCCCTGATCTAGGCCAATAGTAATTGCAGGAGCTCCATCTTGTACTGGCCATCGCTGTCTGAGACGGTTGAGTCTTTTTAGTATTTGGATGAGATATACCTTGTTTCAGTTTCCTGAAGTAAAAGAAGGTTTCACAGGTCAACAGAAACCAAAGGCTAAGCCCCTCTTATCAGCTTAACCACATTTTCAATAAGTTCATGCAAACACTAGTTTTTGGCTGATGCCATCTGACATACTGCAGGAGAGAACTTAAGAATGTAAGCAGCGCCCACTGGGTTAGACCTTTGGCCCATCTCATCCAACGCTGGCCAACCAACTGTCCAAGGAAGCCCACGAGTCTCTCTGAGTAGATGGTCTTCAACAAAAAGGGAAGGAAGGAAGGAAGGAAGGAAGGAAGGAAGGAAGGAAGGAAGGAAGGAAGCAAGGAAGGAAGCAAGGAAGGAAGGAAGGATAAAGAGCTGGGAATGAGATGGAAGGATGGATGGATGGAAGGAAGGAAGGAGGAAAGGAAAGGAAAGGAAAGGATGGAAGGAAGAGAATGAGAATAAGAATAGGGGAGGGGGAAGGAAGGAAAGAAAGGAAGGAAGGAAGGATGAAAGGAAAGGAAAGGAAGGAAGGAAGGAAGGAAGGAAGGAAGGAAGGAAGGAAGGAAGGAAGGAAGGAAGGAAAAAGAGCTGGGAATGAGATGGAAGGATGGATGGAAGGAAGGAGAGGATAATGAGAAAAAGGAAGAGAAGGGGAGAAAAGGAGGGAGGAAGGGAGGGAGAAGGGGGCTGGGAATGAGCTGGAGAGATGGATGGATAGAAGGAAGGAAGAGAATGAGAATAGAGGAGGGGGAAGGAAGGAAGGAAGGAAGGAAGGAAGGAAGGAAGGAAGAAGGGAGGGAGGGAGAGGGAGGGAGCTGGGAATGAGTGGAAGGATGGATGTATTGGGGGCAGTGAGGGAGGGAAGGAGTGAAGAAGCCAGGAAAGAGGAAGGGAAGGAGGGAGCAAAGAAACTTTGAGTGAAGAAGTGAGTTTGAAAACACAAAGACGAAAGTACTAGCTCTAGGGAAAAAAATATGGAAACAGGACTAAAGCAGTTGAGGCTGGAATATACAGTATGCATCCACAAATAACAAGAGCCCATTTTACTCCTGCCAGGAATATTACACCATCATTATATTTTAATAAAAGGCTCCTATGCTTCCAATTTAAAGACTCCTTTTTATGCAAAAGGCAGTCCCATGGCTGACTGGTCCAGGTGTTGCATCATCTTTTAAGAACTGAGTACGTACTTAAATCCTATGGTGAATTTCATGCTCTACCATTCATATTTATTCAAGGGTGGTCTGAACACCCCTGGAGATCCACCAAACACTTACAGGGGTCTGCAGCCAGATATGTGAAGACTATGTAGGCTTCTGTACAATGCATCTGACATCTAAGGGTTTGTCACAGAGAAGAGTGGGGTCAATCTATTCTCCAAAGCACCAGAAGGCAGGACAAGAAGCAACAGATGGAAAGAAGGAGTGAACCAACCTAGAATTAAGGAGAAATTTCCTGATCGTAAGAACACCAGTGGAAGATCTCACCCTCAGAAGTTGTGGGTGCTCCATGACTGGAGGTTGTCAAGAAGAGATTGGACAACCATTTAGCCGAACTCTTATAGGGTTTCCTGCTTCAGGGGGTTGGACTAGAAGACTTCTTAAGATCCCTTCCAACTCTGTGATTCTGCTGTTCTGTCCTTCTCCTCTGCTGTGAGTTATTGGCCTGGGAATGTGCAGGACCTGGGAAGCCACAGCTCTTACTGGATGCCTTTTAAAGATGTCTCATTGTTTGTTGTTGTTGTTAATTGCGAAGTCGTGTCCGACCCATTGCGACCCCATGGACAATGTTCCTCCAGGCCTTCCTGTTCTCTACCATCTTCTGGAGTCCATTGAAGCTCACGCCTACTGCTTCAGTGGCTCCATCCAGCCATCTCATTCTCTGTCGTCCCCTTCTTCTCTTGCCCTCCATCTTTCCCAGCATCAGGCTCTTCTCCAGTGAGTCCTTCCTTCTCATTAGGTGGCCAAAGTATTTGAGTTTCAACTTCAGGATCTGGCCTTCTAAAGAGCAGTCGGGGTTGATCTCTTCTAGGACTGACCGGTTTGAACGCCTTGCAGTCCAGGGGACGCGTAGGAGTTTTCTCCAGCACCATAGTTCAAAGGCCTCCATTCTTTGGCGCTCAGCCTTTCTTGTGGTCCAATTCTCACAGCCATACATTGCAACTGGGAAAACCATGGCCTTGACTATATGCACTTTTGTTGGCAGGGTGATGTCTCTGCTTTTTAGTATGCTGTCTAGATTTGCCATAGCTTTCCTCCCCAGGAGCAAGTGTCTTTCAATTTCTTGGCTGCAGTCCCCATCTGAGGTGATCTTGGAGCCCAGGAAGATAAAATCTGTCACTACCTCCATTTCTTCCCCATCTATTTGCCAGGAATTGAGAGGGCCGGATGCCATAATCTTGGTTTTCTTAATGTTGAGTTTCAAGCCAACTTTTGCGCTCTCTTTCTTCACCCGCATCAAGAGGCTCTTTAGTTCCTCTTCACTTTCTGCCCTTAGAGTGGTATCATCTGCATATCTTAGGTTGTTGATATTTCTCCCAGCAATCTTAATTCCAACTCTTGATTCATCTAGCCCTGTCTTTGTTAAGGAAGCCCAGTTGCTACATTTTGCTCTAACACTTTCCTTCCTGTTCTTCTCCACCCGCTCCTGGCAGGTAGGAATAACGGCGTCTCCTCCGGGATGAAGACTTTGGGCTTCTCCTACAGCATGTGAAAACCATCTGGCTGGAGTGCAAATTGCTGTTGCCATTGTCCAAGGAGCCGAGCTCAGAGAGCGGAGCAAAAATATCCCCTTGGCCTTTTTCATAGGAAACAAAGAAAAATCCAGTATTTTCGCGACAACAAAATACGTTCTTTTCTGTCTTTTTATCAGTGTTCAGAAGTGGAGGAAGGTGGAAGGGCAAAACCTGGCTTCCGGCTTCCAGCAAATGTATAGCTTGGATTTTATTCTTGATTCATTAAACAGATTTTTTTTTCCTGATTTACTTATCGAGTTATTGAATGAATTTTGTATTTTTGGCTTCTCTCAAAAATTCCCCTTCCAAAGAATGATCCTTTCCATCATTCTAATAACTTCCCCCAAAGGCCTCCATCCACCAAAACCTATCCGATAAACCTTGGAAAAGCCTCAGAAAACAAAATAAAAATTAAAAAGTAGGTCCACTTAGAATG